AGCACCTGCAGTTCATTAGCGTTTTTAACTTCCTATAATATCACCTCTGAAACAAACTGTAGGCTGCTGAGTGAGTCCAAAAGTAAATACCACACACACACACACACACACTTAAACACACCGACACACACTTACACACACCTACACACACATACACCTAAACACACACACACACACACACACACAGGTGACAGGTTCCTGGTCTCTTGCTGTTGTGATGAATGTGAACGTTCTGCTTGCTGCTCATGTGTTCGTGTCTCACGCTGTCCAGACCGAACATGGACGCTCTGCTGCCCCTAACCCTCTNTTTGTTTGGGGTAAAGTCAATATCATATGAGCACCATTTAAGAATCTTTATCTCCTCCAATAGGCCATTTTTAGTGATAACATTTAACCAAACCTTCAGAGATAAATTGATCCAATTATTACCTATTTCCATTAAATTTTTAATTAATCTTTTATCTCCTAGCCTCGCCTGAATGGGAACTGCCCCGGACACATTCTCTTCAATTTCTTTCCACCTGGCTTGGTAGTCAGAGTTGCACCAACAATAGAGGATCCTCAGCTGGGCTGCTTTATAGTAGTCCTTAAGGCAGGGGAGTGCAAGTCCACCCCTCCTCTTTGTCAGTTGAAGAATTTTAAATTTTATCCTCGGTTTTCTTCCATGCCAAATGTATCGTGATAGCAACTTATCCCATTCATTAAATTGTTTGTCAGTTATTTCAATTGGGAGAGTCTGAAATAAATACAAAATTCTTGGCAAAATATTCATCTTTACAGACTCGATTCTTGACTCAAAGCTTAGTATTGGTATCAAATTCCATCTTTCTATGTCCTCCTTTAATTTTTGACTTAATTGGTTAAAGTTTAGAGTATATAGGTTTTTTAGTTCTTTTGGTATGTTAACCCCCAGGTATCTCATGTGGTCTTGGTCCCACTGTAGTTCGATATTCGATTTTATGGTCTGGCTTGGCTTGTATTGAAAACTTAGCACTTGGGTCTTATTAATATTTAAACTATAGCCTGAGACGGAGCCAAAGGCATCCAGAAAGGACAATAATTTCAAAATTGAGCTCTCTGGGTTTGTCAAATAAATTAAAACGTCATCCGCAAATAATGAGATTTTATGTTCCTGGTTGAACATTTTTATACCTACAATATTATTATCTTGAACGATTCCCTGTCTCAATGCTTCAATAAACATTGCAAAAAGTAGTGGACTAATTGGGCAGCCCTGTCTAGTCCCTCTTTCCAGGTCAAATGAGTTTGATGTGGCGCCGTTAATTTTTATCCTTGCCCTTGGACTGCTGTATAATGCTTGAATAGTTTTGATAACGGTCTGGTGAAAACCAAATTTCTCCAGTACTCTATATAAAAACTCCCAACTAACTCGATCAAATGCCTTTTCTGCGTCAAGACTCAGTAATACTGCCTGAATTTTATTTTTAACTATATGATCAATCACATGCAATGTTCGCCGAATATTATNTAAGTGTTCTGATCCAGAGACATCCACAGGAAGGAGTTTAACAGAAAACCATGAATAAACAGAAGAAGAGCAGATGTAGCTGCAGGAGACTGTTTCTGCTCCTCATCAGTCACCAGGAGAGCAGGTGTCACTTCCTGTCTCCTGTTTCTGCTGCACATGCTCAGTACAGCCATCAGTGTTTATGCAGGAGGTCCGAATGAGCCGTGTGCTGCCATCTCTAAACTCTAATGTAGACGGTCTCTTTCTTTGACCTTTACTCATGAAACAGTCTAGATATTAGCGGTCGGACGCGATTAAAGAATGAATCAAATTAATTAGAGGCTGTGTAGATAATTAATGGGATTAATCAATATTTAGCACAAGAAGCAAAGTTTTTCACTTCAGATACATTTTGGTTGACGCCTGAATCCCCGACTCGACAGAAACATGCAGCTGTTCATCTGTATTGATCTGCTTCTGTCCACCGCTCTGATCTGGCTGCCTCAGGTTCCGGGTCCACAGAACCTTCTTGCTTCTTGCTTCCCATTCATTGTGTCCCCAGCCCCCGTGTCGTGTTCTGGAGCGCCGTGGGGAGGCAGAGCGTCGCCGGCAAGCTCATTTGCATGAAGTAGTGCAAATTTGTGCAAATGGGGCAAAGTCAGGCAGAACCCGCCCAGTGGACCCGCAGCATCAGGCCTCAGCAGGAAAGACAAGTTTGACCCAACAAGCCGAGCGGTGCCGTCTGGTCTTCATCACTGTCAGACTGTTAAAACTATAAAACATTCACTGCATTAGAACATCACCAGTCATCCTAATTACAGAACAAACCTCGTGATTAAAGCCATCATACGCTGTTCATGTAAATCATTGACGAGGAATCAGTTCTACAGTGATGCTGATGAATGAACATCTGGGTCCGATCAGGGTTCTGCTGTTGGTCACAAATAACTCGCAATGTATGTAGGTCCATGTTTCAGCACCTGTGGCCTGGGTGCCCTGACCATTGCCGCCAGTGGGCCGGACTGGCCCGCCGGTAAGCCGGACCGGCAGCCAGTGAGGCGGATCGGCAGGCTATGAGCTGGACTGGCAGCTAGTGGGCCGGACCGGCCTGCCAGTGAGCCGGACCGGCAGCCATAACCCAGAAAAGTGGGTTTTGTCATCAGCAGAGTTCAGGACGTTCTCCTGTACCGACCCGGGAGAACACTGGACTGACTGTGTTTACAGCAGCAGTATTTCTGTCAGCTGTTGCTCAGCGCTCCTCCCTGGCCTTATTTAGACACACATCACTGCTGAATGCACACACACACACACACACACACTTGCAAACCCAACACACAAACACACACACACACTAACGGGCAGTCTGGCCAAGAATGTGCCCACTAGCTTCTCCTTCTCCCTCCAGCAGATCCACCTCCTCTCTCGACACCCCCTCCTCTCTTCTTTCACTTTGTTCCTACTCTCTCGCTCTCTCTCTCTCTCTCTCTCTATCTGCATCCCTCCCCCACCGCCGTTTGCCAGTTGATGGGAAAAATTACGGCAGGCTGAAAACCTTCCACACGTTCCTGAGCTCTGACCAGCATCCATCAGCTGTGGCTGCACCGCAACCTTAAAAGACTGCATCTGACATGTCCTGCACCGCCAGCTCCCACTGGTCCGTCTGTCTGTCCACGTACCCACATCTGGATGCATTTAATCATGTGCACAGGAATGTACACATGCTTAATATGCACGTGGATGTTCAGTTTCACATAATAGTCGTCCATGTATAAAGGCCTGGTCTGTCCTTACATCACAGGCACCCAGCAGGGCTGAACTGATGCCTCATCTTGGTCTGTAAAATAATGTCAATGTGTTTTCTGACTCGGTCATGGGTATTGTTTATTGAATGTATGTCAATAATGTTGGGGGCGTGGCTTCTGGTGAACCTGCATTTAGGTGAGTGCAGTGCACGCGCGCAGTCGCGCGCTGCGAAATGATGTCACACGCCGACTTGGTGGCTTTTTCCCAGAGTTGCGTTGCCGTGGGTGTGGATTTTACTCGTTATGAACTTTTGGATTATCTAAAGTTACTGGAACGGGAGGACGGACCGCTTCACGGAGCTGCTGGGGACCAAACCAACGCTGATGCGCGGAGCCGTGAGTCAATCAGCTGTTGATGGCGTAGGCCACCTGCTAGGAGTTGCTGTGATGTGGTTCATGTGTTTGTGACCCTGCAGATGGTGGAACATCTCTATGAACTGATTAATGAACTGTTTGCTGAACTTTGTTGTGTTTTGTGCTGTTTTGTGTGTGGGAATGCACTCGAGCGTGAGGGGGGGATAAAGTAAAGAGTTTAAAGTAGAAGGCTGTGCTGTAAGTCAAATGGATGCATGTGTTTGTCTGTCATTCAGCCCTGCTGAGAACAGATATAGTGCGTTGTGATGCTGTGGCCTTGGAACTAATCGGTGAACTGTTACACATAGAACAGTTTGCGTGCATCATGTAAACATTAAAGGGTCTCGACTCGCTTGTTGCAGCCATCTCCTCTTTATATTCTGCTGCTGCTCTCGTCCCTCCACCCCATGCACATCTGGCTGCCGGACCTCGGTGGACAGTTCGAGTCCCGCATGCTGCCAGACAGAATCAGATAGACCTACCAAACCAAACTGGAGCAAAGCCAGGTCTTTAGTGGTCTGCAGACTAGAACCAGCCATCAGCACGTCACCAACAAACAACGTTCCGTCAGTGATCAAGCAGCAGAATGCAGTACGACTGATGTTGAACGTTTCTGGAGGAGACGAGCTGTTCTGAATAAAAACCACAAAGTAATCCTGCAAGGTCAGGTCACGTATCGTGACTTTGCTCGCCAGCTGTAGGAGGCAAAGCAGTTCAAGAAACAATACTTTAACAATGGCCACTTCTAAAGTCAAAAATCCTACAGCAGAATCAAACCCTCCAGGTCAGACATAACTACATGTGCTGTATATAATAAGGCCTGCTCCAGCCATGCTGAATGCCCCAGTCCTCCATACTGCTGGCACACCTCAGGTTAGTGCTGTTCTTACCATTTATGCAGTAAGAACCACTGTTAACGGGGTGTTTCTGCCTTTTTTTTAAAAGAAAAATGAAGAGAAGTGGCACTGGCAGGCAGGAGATATGGGCAAACAGAGGCTGGTGGCATCAACTACGATACGGGCTGAAAGGTCAACTGTGACGGGACGACGAGTACTTCAGCTAATTTACTGCTTACCTTGGATTTGTCTTCCAAATACGTTTGACTAAACTGGACATGGGATCTGCTTGCTCTATGAAGTGATGTGGCTGCACTCTGTCAACAGTTAACTTGGTGTGTCCAGCATTCTAGGTATCAACAGACACGACAGCCAAGAGCTGACCTGATGGACTTAAAAGGGTTCCTGCAACACTTGCTGTCCAAAAGAAATGCATCCTATCTCATTAAAAGAGCCACAATGCCCCCAGAAATACAGAACGTATGGGAGAACCATTCATTTACATGTCTTTTGGACATTATTATACACAAGACATTTTACCTGGAGATGGCAATCTCGACTTTGGTTCTGGCAATCGCTGCTGCTCTTACTGCTCCCTCGATGGCACGATCGACTTTCTGTTTGGTCTTGGTGTTCCTCAGCGGGATGAGCTGCTTCCTGATGCCCCGGGCCAGCACATTGTTCTTGTACTTGCCTTCTTCTTTGGTGCCATCAGGAAAGATGGTGCAGCCATAGCCATGGCGCTTATTGTTCAACCACTCACCTTCATATTTCATGCCGTTAGACCTTTCAGAGACACCAAAGCCGCTGCGCTTGTCATTCTTCCACTCGCCCATGTATGACTCAGTGGTGGTGGCATCCACATTGTCCTCTAGAGGCAGGTAATCATCACCTGGGTCGCCGTCTCCAAAGCTGATGGTAGAGTTGGCATCACTTGAGCTGATGCGGCTCATGGTGGTGTCGCTGTGTGCTGAGCTGCGCTTGCTGGAAATTGATGATCTTGAGTCTGATTTGCGCAGTCGCTGAAGACTGCCGAAGAGGGAGCCACGCCGGAAAAGACCCTTCTTCTTCTCTGAACCTTCCCCGTCTGAGTGGAAGTTGAGTACAAAGCCACCACGTGTGCCAGCAGGGCTGTCGGACAGGCTATCACGCAGCACCGTGCCGTTACTCTGCTCACTGCGGAGTGACGCCAGAGACGTCCGGAGAGGTGAGCGGATGACAGAAGCCATACCGTAGGGAACGCTCTGACGTACGCCGTAGCCATGACGCATCCCACCAGTCCACTGACCCTGATATGTACCTACAGACAAGAGAAGACAAGGAATTAAGTTATAAAATACAGAAGACAAAATGAATGATATGACATCAGAATTACTCAGATTATAGTCACTACACAAATCACTAAACAGAAACATACAGTTGAAGACATCATGATTAGCCCCCCTATGAAATTTGAACTGTTTTTAGAAAAATCCTGAGTGCTGTTAAACAGATCGAGGAATTTTGAACGCTGCTTTTCCAAACATCCCAGTTTTATTTTGGATGCTTACATTATTTGACTTTGCACACAGAAACAAAATTATTTAACAAAAACCACCAAATGATTAGCCCCCGATGCTAACAGTCGGCTGCGTGTCCTTTTTGCTAGATGATGGTTTGCTGTAGCTGGTAACACGTCTCTGACATGTCTCCTGATCACAGCCCAAATCTCTCCAGCTCCTCCAGATTTGATAATAATAATTGATCAGATTTATGAAGACCTTTTCTAGACACTGTCACTCATTCATCCACACACATCCATCCGGTGGTGGTAGCTCCGGCTGTAGCCACAGTGGGGCAGACTGACGGAGGCCAGGCTGCCATTCTGCCCTCCGACCACCACCTCAACAGTCCATCCATACACATCCACACCAGTGAAGTGTGCTGCCCAAGGACACAACAACCATGACACAGGTTACAGGGCGGAACCGAACCGCCGACTTTCCGATGATTGACCGGCCCGCTCAACCAGCTGAGCCACAGCCGCCCATGGTGGTCTTCTGGCATGGACTGTGGTTTTCAGGTGACCCCACAGATATTCAATGGGATTCAAGTCAGGGCTTTGTGCAGGCCAGTCAGTAATGTTCACTTTGGTCTCCTGGTAGTTCTTTACCAGGACTGACGTATGTTTTGGGTCGTTGTCATGTTGGAAGACAAAGCGTCGACCCAGACCCAGTTCTGCAGCTGACTGCTGGAGGTTTTCTTTCAAAATCTTTCAAAATCAAGATCTAGCTGGTGCCAGTAGCTGATCAAGAGGGTAGACGATACCTCCAACCAGATGAAAGCCAAAAAGCCAGGTTTAGCTATGAAGTGTCCACTTTTGTCTGCAAAGCTCAGATGCATTTTATTGTCATCGCAACGAGTACAACGAAAAGTAAGGTGCAGGCCTTTCAGTGCAAAAAAAAGAATATATATATATATAAAAACTTTGTCAACAGCTATATACAGTATAAAACAAATATATATCTATATATGGAATTAAACAATAAGCATGAACACGGTGGATGTTGCACAGAGGTAGCGGCAGGTGCATATTTACAATATATTGCACTTATTACGATAAAGAGGCGTTTATGGTTCTGACAGCAGTTGGAAACAAGCTGTGTTTCAGTCTGTTAGTCCTGGTTCTGATGGCCCTGTACCATCTGCCCCATGGCAGCAGGTCCAACAGAAAGTGGCCCGGCTGGTAGGAGTCCTTCAGGATGGTGTCGGCTCTCCTGAGGCAGAAAGAGCCATGAAGGTCCTCCAGTGTGGGCAGAGGCCACCCAGTGACTTTCTCAGTCATGTTGGTGACCCTCTGGAGTTTTTCCTGTTTGCTGCTGTGCAGCTGGCAAACCAGCTGTATCTGATGTAAAGTCTAACACACAGAAAGAAGGCAAGAACATCACTAGAAAAATAGCAAAATCTTAAAATGTTGACACACAAATATGATCTATAATTATAATAATACCGATTCACAGCTTTATGGAACCTCATGAGCACAGGCCCATGCATAAGCAGCAACTGAAAGCAGCAACTGAAGCTTTTGTTGTTCAACAAATCACAGACAATAGAGTTAAGTTTTTAGACTTCCTGTAAGACATTGAAAGGTTGGGTCCGGTACCAGGTTCTCCACCCTGGAGACTCTAGAGCTTCTAATTACTCGTTTTATCCTAATCTGTACGACAGTAAACCTGTGCTCTAAATCAGCAAATCTATAGAAAGGCAGCCCTCTCACCCTGCTGGCTCTCCCCTCTGTGGCCTCAGAGTCTCCGCTGTATGACCATTTATCAGAACCTGTCCAGGTTCTGTTGCTGTTCTGACTGTTGAGATGATATGAACAACACTTTCTAGAACTGCCAGAGCAACATGAGTGCTGGTAGCGGTGGTGTGGAGCACTGGAGGGTTCCTGCTGGTCTGAATCCACTTTGTGTGTGTGTTCTCTCCTGCTGTATATTTCTAGTCCTCTCCGCTGGCTGTCAGTTTGTCTGCTTGAAGGTGCAGCATGGACAGTTTCTATACCAGCGGTTTGGTGGGGGCCCACATGACGCCTGCATATCAGCACTGATGCATTTGTGAAGAAGAAAAAGCTGCTGCTGTGGAGAAATGCCCACAACTGGTCCACAGACATGTTCATAACACTAGCTAACCCTAACAAACTCTAACTAACCCTAACCCTAACCCTAACTCTAACCCTGACCTTAACTAACCCTAAACTTAACTAACCCAACCTAAATCTAACGACCCATAACTAACCCTAACCAACCCTAACCCTAACTAATCCCAACCAACCCTAACTAATCCTAACTAACCCTAACTAACCCTAACCCTAACTATCCCTAACCAACCCTAACCCGAACTAACCCTAATTAACCCTAACCCTAACTAACCCTACAGCTCTTCGTGTTGGTATCACTTTATATTCAAGATGGGGAACTGCTCGTTTCATTTAGAACTTTCTAATCCTTTGTTAGAGGTAATTATTAACCAAGTCTCAATATTTCTTATTTCATTTTTATTTAAGACATGCCACAGTGTCATCCATCCATCCATCCATCCATCATCTCTACACCTTAGTCCTCACTAGAGTGGTGGGGGCGGAGCCTATCCCAGCTGACTCAGGGTGAAGGCAGGTTCACCTGGACAGGTAACCAGTCTATCACAGGGCTACACTTAGAGACAGACAACCAAGCACACTCACATTCACACCTACGGACAATTTACAATCACCAATTAACCTCAACATGTTTCTGGACTGTGGGAGGAAGCCGGAGAACCCGGAGAGAACCCACGCTGCACAGGGAGAACATGGAGACTCCACGCTGAAAGATCCTGGGTGTCCTCACCGGGACGCCAACCGGCGACCTTCTGGCTGTGAGGCGCTAACAGAGCTAACCACTGAGACACCTGCAGCCCACAACAAACTTTATGACTTCAGTAAATACTTGAACTTCAGGGCTCCAGAACTCTGCTGGTAACACGGCTGACAAGATTCAGGTTCACAGTTCAATCCAGCAAACAGGACACCATGTAAAGCAACACAGAAAAGAAAAGCTCGTGGGTGGAATCCAACACATGAGAGCAACACTCAGGTTCAACATGTTGGTGAGGTCATTTTACTTGAACATCTGCTGTAAAATTATATATGAAAAACCAAACATCTGTATTCTGTAAAAACCGACATTTTTCAGCCCTGCCTTGAAACTACATTGCTGACTAACAGTGCCGCTGACTGATGGTTGAATGAAGGTATTCTGACGGCCTGGAGATTCACCAGTTGTGGCTCTAAAACCTCCCAGTGCTCGTCATTGGGTCCCTGAACAGCTAGCTTGGTGGCCCGGTTAGGAGAGCTCAGGCTCCCTCCATTACGGCTTCAACTGGAGAATGTGAGAATGTGCTATTTTAAAAGATGGAAGTAACTTGAGACTCTGGGAAGTCTGTGGGATGGCTTAAACATAACGCCACACCGCTATCTTGCTATGTGGAGTAAGCCCTCTCCACAGATCCATACGGGACGAACTGGGCTCACCTCTGGAAAACAGCCCATCTGGGAGTTCACTTTGCACTGATTGAAAGTCTTTATGAATTCTGGATTATCTTCATGTACTTGGCAGGCCCAAACAGCTAACCGAGGTCCAGATCCACTGAAAACATTTGAATCGGATCAGTACCAGGGATCCACCGGTACGTTTGTTCCCTAGACAATATCCGGTATTTATATTTAATCATTCAGTGACCTTCAGTAACATGAACGTGACATGAAACAGGCACAGCAGATCAGTTCCCATGTTCTCCTCCCTCCTGACCACTGGACTGGGCTCTGATGCACAGGACGGGTCACTGATTCTGTTCAGCCAGATGAGGAAAGCGTTCGTGGCTGAGTGCTGAACAGGCTCATGGTTACACAATGCAGTATCTGCCTTGGACTAAAGAACATCCTCCCACCAGCATTAAACTATCTGTTAAATACAGAACATGTCAAACCCGACGATTCAGAACCCTCCACAGAATCATCAGAACGTGCTCTTGTTGCCATCTTCAGACTACCTCCATCAGCAGGTGTTGGAGGCATGAAGCCTCACTGCCATGAAAGGCCCTGTCTGAACACACATAATGTTGAATCCAGTCCAGTCCACTTGGATCAGTTCCCTCTCCCCCAACCTTTCCTTGAGTATCACCTGCTGACTGAGAAACCCTCTTCTTCGTGACAGGACAGCTCCCATGAACACAACCCGGCTTGGAAAATCAGAGGGTCCCTGAAGCTGCTGTAGCTTACTGCACAGTCCTGAACGTGTCAGCTGACAAAAGCAGAAACTAACCCAACTGGATAATATTGCACAAGTTCTTTTTTTAATTTAAAAAAAAAAAAAAAAAAAGGCCTTGAAGCGGTGATCAGTGCCATCCTGTTGCCAAAAGTTTATTTCACTGACTAAAATCAGTTTGACAAAGTCTGATGGACTCATTTTAGCGGGTCACAGTGACGAGCAGGGCTAAAGATAGAGCCGGCGTGGCCCTGGGGCCTCGCTTTCATTTGGTTTCACATGGTTTCATATAACCAGGAGCTGGTAAAAGCAGCGCGACAAACACTTCACTGAAGGAGAAATGCACCAGTTTAATGAATGGGGATGAGAGCACAGGTTTACGAGGGACTGCTGAATAAGAAGTCAACATCAGGACATGGTGGTGTGACATGATGCTCCAGCTCAGACTGGTGCTCTCACAGCTCCTATGACAACCCAACACACATGAAAACCTGAGCTCACAGGTAGAGGACAAGTTCCAACGCTGCCGGGCACTACACAGACCATGATGCACCGGGGCTCGTCTGTAGGTCCAACTGATCCGTCATCAGGGCCTTTGTACCAGCATGTTCTCCCTCCGAGCAGCACTCTGCTGGCTGGAGTCTTTATGGGTCATACGTGTCTCTGCTCATGTCTGAGGACATCAGGACACTGTTCAGAGGGACGGAGCTGTCGGACCCACTTTGTCTGGAGCATTTTTATTTACTTCATGTTTATTTGTGCTTCTGTAACTTTACACTTTGTGCTGTAATAACAAAATCAATACAACAAACACAAAAAATGGAAGTCGAGGAGCCCTGCTGCTTTATTTATCAGCTTTCTGTTGACTCACAGCGTCTCCACCAGAACCAGTCGGTCCAGCTGGTACCACCAGTACCAGCAGAAAGACACCAGCTTCCCATTTATAAAGTATAAATCAGTCATAGCAACAACACCAGGAGTGTGATGGACCAACAATGTCCCTGAGGTACCCGACCAAACGGATCAATAAAGTTCTATCTAGTCTACGGACCAGGAGCAGCTCTGTGTTGGGCTCGGTCACACTGAACCAGAACTCTGCCTCCTCACAGACCACCAGCAGAGACACAGGTCCAGTGGAGACTAAGAATAGTGGGTCAGTGTTTGTGGGCTGCCCAGACCTCCTTCCCGTCCCCCCTGTGGGTCAGGGTTCAGGCACCAATAAAACAAACTGAACCAAACTGAGACAGAAGTTCTTCTGAAACCCTGGTCCTGCAGCGTCGGGCTCAGCAGGGCTCTACATGAGCACCAGGCAGCAGAACTTCATGACAGACTTGTGTGAGTGTGAACCAGGACTTGGCCGGTCCCCCCTCCCCTCCTCACCTCCATCTCCGTACGTCTCCACGCCGTATCCGTCCTGCAGTCCGTTACTCCAGGTCCCCTCGTACCTGGCCGGCGTGTTCAGGCTCTGCCGGACTCCGTACCGGCCCTTGAGCCCGTGGGTCCACTCTCCCCGGTAAATCCACCTCCCCTTGGTTTCTACGCCGAGTCCGTGGCGCTTCCCCTGCGCCCAGTAGCCCTGGTACACGTTGCCGCTTGGCCAGGTGTAGACGCCCACCACCTCGAACCCGTTGGACCACGAGCCGGAGTACTCGCCCTGGCCCTTGGGTCCGGTGCACACCCCGTGGCCATGGGCTTTGCCGTCCTCCCAGCCTCCGCAGAAGGTGCCACCATCGTCAAAGTCGAACCGGCCGCCCGTCATTCAGGAACGCAGAGTAACGGATTACTCTTTGGCTGTGGAGTACGAACTGTTCTCAGAACCGACGTGATGCTGACAGGAAGCCTGTGGAGGGCACCGGTGGACGGAACGGCCAGCTCATTGGCTGTCTGGGTCAAAGCGGGCCGTGGGAGGTGAGAGGCGGCCGGCCCGGCTCCAGAGTCGCTCCTCTGCCCGGTCCTGGTGGACTCTCCCACTCTATTTCACGAGTGAGCACTGCTAAGCTGTCGGTGGTGAAGCGATACAGCGCTTCCTGTTTGGCCCTTCAAAATAAAAGCGTGATGGAGGCGCCGCTTTCAGGATCTGTCAGAGGGATACGAGTCCCGGCCATCACATCAGGACATGAAATCATCACCTGGGAATGAAACATGCAGGCACTCTGAGCTAATTAAGCACACAGCCAGGTACTGATCTGCAGTGGGCCCACACAGCCGGAGATGTTCAGGCCTCAGGATCCAGTCAGCATTCAGTTCTGCTGTCAGCTCACAACACTTCCGTGACCTGCTGGGAAACCTCAGGACTGAGCAGCTGCCTACAGAACCAGAGCCAGCAGGTGGTTTGCTGATATCACCGCGCTTGATTGGTCGGCCGACTCACCGGACCTGTCCCACCACATTGTTGTCATATGTTGAGATACTAGACTTTGGATATTGAGATGAGCTGGCAGCCGTAATCATGAGAACGTGAACAAAAGCCTGAAACATTGGCTCCATGTGTAGTCGGTATAGGATGTACAACCGCTTATCTTTTAAAATAAATGACAAAGAAGTAGTGCACTGATCAGAGCAGGTGTCCTGCTGCAGGTGGCGCTGTGATCAGGGAAGTGGTGTACGTGGTGTAGGTGATGTCAAAGGAACATCTACAGGAAAAGCAAGATCCAAGGATTCCCCGCAGAACCTGGCACTGATGAGATGATCAACGATCCACCACCTCACCTGTCAGTGGTTCTAATGCGGCGGCTGCTCGGTGTGTTCTGATGCAGAAGCTCCACTCAGCTCAGTCCTGCAGGTCTGTCATGCAAGATCTGCTCCACCAGTCAGCAGGACTTCTGGATCATGTACACTTGTGCTATTTAGGCCTCTGGATTAAAACACCAGCTCACAATAACAGCGGGTATTTTAGAATCATATCAATCAGAGCTGTGTTAAGCAGCGACAGTCAGGTGTTATTATCCTCACAGTGTGTGGAGGCAGAACCACAGACATGCAGAATCAAGGCCTTTATCATACATGTCTATGGGTTTGGACGCCACAGATCAGAGCCCAGTGCAAACATTTATAATCAACATATTCAGTTTTCATTCAGCTTTAGTTCTATGTTGAAGCTGAAATGTGTTTAAACAGTTTAGGTTTATTTACTTTTAAACAAATGAGTTAATAAAAGTGTAAAAACACACACTTTCCTCATCTCGCTGCCTTTACAGGAGTTCCTGCTTATCAGCTTCCGTCCTGATGAGGACGTCTTGGCTCCTGATGGCTCATTAACAGCACAGACTGCAGGAACATGTAGGCGTGATGAGGAAGGCTCCCAGCTGAAACCTCTAATCCTGTGTCCTGGTAAATCATTTCACACATTCTGACAGGAGCGTCCCAACACTAACCCCAACCTGTCCTGAGAAGGAAGACATCAGAGAAGAACTCCCGTCTCTGTGTATGGTGAAACACTGCCATCTCCTGGACAGTCTGGTTCTTGCAGCATAACCTGCTGCTTTCTTCAGTTTAACTGTTTTTTGTTTTTCTTAATGTTTAACAAAAATTTCTTTAAGTTAAACTCTGGAAACACTTTTAAACGTACATGTCAACACGAGGGATGTCTGTTTGCTTCCAGTCCATGTCATGTAATGTTTAGTGTCTGCCAATATCTCATACCATTTTCCTACATGATAATAATCATAATAATAATAATACACACTTCACATACTGTGAATTAGCTGTAGTGCCGATTGTGTCAGGAGGTACAGCCTCTTACCGAGGATGCCGGCACTTCCATGTTGGCAAACGGAGAAAACTGTGTGAGTTGGCGAGTAAAGGAGCATCATACAGACTTCTCTGAGGCTAACGAACCTCAGACCAACACATATGATAACTTGAGATGAACACAGAGAGTGTTGCAGTGTTTCTGTGTTTGCTACAAAACTCAGCCGCTCGCGTGCTGACGAGGACCAGAGGGCGAGATCACATTACACCTGTTTTAAGGTCGCTGCATTGGCTCCCCGTCCGCTTCAGGATCGATTTTAAGGTTCTTTTATTAGTTTACAAGTGTCTTAAAGGCCTTGCACCCAGCTATTTATCTGATCTGCTTTTACCATATCGACCCTCGCGGATCCTGAGGTCCTCCGGCAGTGGCCTTTTATCCATTCCAGCAGCGAGAACTAGAACCCACGGTGAGGCGGCATTTAGCCACTACGGCCCTCACCTGTGGAACAGCCTGCCGGAGAGCCTCAGGACTGCAGAGACTGTCGATACTTTTAAAAGAAGGTTAAAGACACACCTTTTTAATCAGGCTTTTAATTGAACTTTAATTCTTTTATATTCTTATCATTTATTTATATTTGCATTTTACCTTTGTATTTTATCTTTATGTATTTACTCTTTTTATTTCCAGTGTTTCCTTAGGAGGGGGCCTCCACACTGGGGGCTGTGTGCGGTCTGCTGCTGGGGGTTCTGTCTGTGGGTCCCTTCGGCCCGGCTGGTTGGGGGGGCTCCTCACCTCGTTGTGGGGATCCCCCTGTCTGCCGGGTCGGGGGTCCGGGCGCTGGCGCCCCCAGTAGTCATGGTCTGCAACTCCTCCTGGTGTGGACGGCCCCAATGGTAGCGTTTCCCACAATCCCTCAGTGCCATGCCATGCCTCTTTTAGTCTCGTGGTGAGTGTGTCTGTGTGTGCGTCTGTGTGTGCGCAAATACATTTATTGTATGTGTATGTGTTTGCATGGAGGGTGGGAGGGACGGGTTTATTTTATTTTTTAAATGTTGTAATGTTTTCAAATGTTGTAATGTTTTTAAATGCTTTGTTGTTTTTAAATGTTGTAAAGCACTTTGCGATTGTTGTTGTTGCACATGAAAAGTTCTATATAAATAAAATTTGATTGATTGATTGATTGATTGAATCAGTGAAACAGTTCTGGTACGAACACCAACTGCATTCTTAGGATCACACTTTGAACATCCCTGGCTACATGTGCACACAGTGTCTGTATGTAAATGCATGTATTTTAACAAGTGACAGTATCTGTTTGGGAGATGTTGGACAATGCTAACATTAAAGTTTGTGAGAAGGGAATGGTGAAACCTGCATAACGTGAAAGAATCTGCACATTGAGAAAAAAAAAAAAACTGGACGACCAACGAATCTGGATTTTTAGTCACGGTGAAAGTAAACCGGCCACTCCCACTCTGTCGCCACAGTCATGGAAAACCTGCTCAGACCGCCTTGTTTGCTTCAACTTCCTGTTCATTGTAATGTCTGGTACCACTAAAGGTCCATTTGTTTGGACACATATACTGATAACAACAGAACCAGGTGATCAGAGTTTAACTTCAGAGCTGGTATCAGACATGTTCCAGGGTTTCTTGGTACTAAGTTCTTCCATCAGCAGCTATGGCATTGTGCTGCCAGAACCAGAGCTGTTAGACGTTCCATGGTTCCTGTTCTGTCTGTTTCAGTCACATGATGCACAGGAGTTAGTACCTGATGGCAGAACCATAGTTTCTGATGACTGCAGCCATGCATCTTGGCTGCTCTCCACCAGGTTCTGACATGGTTCTGCTGCCACAGCAGTCCATTCCTGCTGCTCACATTCACCACAATGTGCTTTGTTTGTGGGCTTGTGCTTCTTTCTCCTTTGATGGTTGTCCACAGGTTTTCTACCTCACCTCCGTTATTCTCATACACCCACAGGCGGACACAGAAGCTGCAATAGCCGAGCTACATGAGGCTATCTCCAGCCACCAGGCCAACCATCGTGGCCGGGATATTAACAGTGCCAACCTGAGGAAGGTGATGCTGGAACTCCATCAGCACATCGCCTTCCCCACCAGAGGAGACAGAACCTTGGAGCACTGCTGTTCTCCCTTCAGAGACGGCTATGCAGCAAAGACTCCACCACCATTCGGCAGGTTAGACCACGCCTCCACCTCCACCTGTCCAGGTACAAGCAGCAGCTGATTAACCAGCCCCGGTGGAGAGAGCAGGGCCGTGTTGGTCTGACCAACCAGAGGCCGCCCTGCAGGACGCCTTGGAGACAGCAGACTGGGTCATGGTCCAACACAGCTCCGGTGATGACGTCAGTGTGTTTACGGAGGCGGTTGTGGGATTTGTTGGAAAAGCCGAGCCCAGCTGTCTAAATGACTACCGGCCCACTGCCCTCACCTCTGAAATGAAATGTTTTAGAAAGACATGGTCAGAAACTTCATCACCTCCTCCCTACCTGCCTCCCTGGACTCCCTACAGTTCACATACCGGCCAAATAGATCCACAGACGACGTCATAAATCACCTGCGACACACAACCCTGGCCCACTTGACACGAGGAGGGAATTATTTGGACTTCAGTTCAGCGTTCAGCACCAGAATCCCCTCCAGACTGGTCACTAAGCTGCAGGACCTCGGACTCTCCTCCTCCCTGTGCAGGTGGGTCTACAGCTGTTTGACCAGCAGACCACAGGTGGTTCGAGTGGGGAGCCACCTGTCTCCCTCACGCACCCTGAACATCGGCGCCCCCCAGGGCTGTGTGCTGAGCCCTCCGCTGGACTCGCTGTACACCAATGACTGCCTGTCCACATCCAACTCTAACACCATCATTAAGTTTGCTGATGACACAGCAGTGGTGGGTCTCATCTCCAACAACAACAAGGAGGACTATCTGATGGAGATCACCCACCTGGAGGACTGGTGCAGAGACAACAGCCTCCTCCTGAACATCAGCAAGACCAAGGAGCTGATGGTGGACTAAAGCAAGAAGCAGCAGAGGGCACACCACCCACTCAGGATCAGCAGGACAGAGGTGGAGCGAGTGGAGAGCTTCGGGTACCTGGGTGTCAACATCACCAGGACCTGACGTGGTCCTGTCACATCAGATCACCTCATATTGTTTTCTCCTGACTAGATCCTTGCTTGTGCTGTATCTGCTCTCAGATGTACATCGCTGAATGAAACTGGAGAACCGTAGAGCTGTGAGGCGGAGC